ATGATGTTGGTACTTATCTTGATGGTGTGGGTGGTCGTTGTGATGATGTTGCCGAATAAGAAGTTAAAGTTATAAGTAGGCGTGTGGTAGATAAAACTAAAAAGAAAAAAAAAATCAAGTCAAAAAAATGAAAAAAATCATGTTTACGGGCATTATGTTGATGTTGGTGATGTATGTTTAGATATAACCGAGATACAAAGCAATTCCGATAGAGATGAGTTGGGTGATGAAGTTAAAGCTAAGTTTCCCGATAACCTTTTCACGGTATGCCCCTGTACCAGCATGGCCAGTTGATATTAATGAAGATATCCCAACACAGATTGTCGACATGAATCTTCAAAAGATTCAATGTGAGAGTATATTTAAGAACAAAGAACTTTTAAAGCGATGTATTGTAAAAAAATGTCTTCGAGAAGGTTCCAGACGAGGACAAGTAGATCCACCAAATCAAGGTATGAAGTTGTGTGTGTTTCGAAAAATTGTTCTTGGTTACTAAGAGCAAAAGCAATAAAAAATTCTGATGGACTTTTCCAAGTGAATAAATTTGTTAATGTACACACATGTTCTTCAACATTGTTGCAACCTAATCATCGACAAGCAAACAAATATGTTTTGGGTGAATATGTTGCTGATGTTGTAACGACCCGTTCCCGGTATGTTAATTCATTAATAATTGTTTTAAAGTTTTGCAAGAGGGACTCGGCGAGTTCATAGCCTGACTCGCCGAGTAGGGTCGCGACTTCGAGCACGTGTTAGCTGGAGACTCGGCGAGTCCATATCCCGGACTCGGCGAGTCCGTCCGTCTGGGTGAAACCCTAAATCCCCGGGTTGCCCACTATTTAAGTCACCTTATAGCCCCCATTCTCGCCTCCTTCACCCTCTAAAGCTGTGAGAAAACCCTAGTTCATCCTTGAGAGTTTGTAAGTGATTTTGTGTGATTTTGTGAAGGCTTGAAGAAGGAGAAGAAGAAAGGAGCAAGGAGAAGAGGTGGAGTGCCAAGATCCAAGGGCAAATCTGAGTTATTTGAGGTATTTTCGGATTTCCCCTCTTGTTTTATGCTTTAAACCTCCATTAGAACTCTTCTAAGAACTAGTTGATGCTTGTTCCAAGCCTTGTGCTTTCATGAACGCCCTAATAAGCCGAGATAACCTTGGATCTATTCATTGAGAAGTCCCATAGTCCAGATCTATTGCCTTTATGAGGATACTTTGCATATTAACCCTAGATCTATCCCTTTTATGCATCTTTTAGCCTTATTTTCCCTTATTCATGTGTTGTACACGTAAAGTTGGAAACTTTACGTGGTAAACCAGCTTATTGGACTCAGATCTATCATTTGTATGTGTTGGATTCAAGCAAAATCGGGTGAAAAACAGTTGCATGGCGGCAACTCGGCGAGTCGGGAAGAACGACTCGGCGAGTTGAGTCGCGAGTCCCCGATTCCTTCATTTTTAGCAGTGTTGAGTGGAACCAGTGAGTTAGAGAGTGGACTCTGCGAGTTGAAGGTAGACTCAGTAATGGAGGGACTCGGCGAGTTGTTCATACAACTCGGCGAGTCCAAGGCAATCTTCTTAAGATCAAGAACAACTCGTCGAGTATGTTCATACGGCTCGGCGAGTCGGATGAAGATTGTCTGAGTTCTTGGATCAAGAGGGTACTCGTCGAGTCGATGCCATACTCGACGAGTAGCAGCGAGTAGGATTGAAAAGTGAGAGTAGGACTCGGCGAGTTGGGTGGCCCAACTCGGCGAGTCAGTCCAAATGAGAGTAACTTTGACCAAGGGTAAAAGAGTCATTTTACCCAAGTGCAGTGTTTAGTATTTGATTGAGTGTGTTTATGGACTTGTAGCCGGGGAGATACAGGAGCAGCAGCCGTTAGCTTCCAGAGCCACACACTCAGCAGCCAGTTTACGAGGTGAGTTTCCTTCCAGTAGGGACGGGTCTAAGGCCACAATGCCGGCCCGTTCAGTTAGCAGTAGTTTCCGGACTTTGATCCGATGCAGTAGCTAGTATGTTTGATGCCTTCGTGGCTCAGACAGGATTTGTGTGCTATGTTTTATGTGTTATGTATTATGTGTTCCGGGCTACGGCCCGATGTAGTATGCAGTATATGTGTTCATGCTAGTTGTTATGTTATGCTACGCTATGCTCAGTCAGTTAGTTCCGGACTTCAGTCCGATGCAGGGGACAAGGTCCCAGTCGGTTCCGGACTTTGGTCCGATGCAGTTAGTTCCGGACTTCGGTCCGATGCAGTTAGTTCCGGACTTCGGTCCGATGCAGATAGTTCCGGACTTTGGTCCGATGCAGGGGACAAGGTCCCAGTCAGTTCCGGACTTCGGTCCGATGCAGTTGTCGGGCTTCGTCCCGATGCAGTGGGCAAGGCCCAATATGTGTTTATATGTTATTGTATGGTATGTGGTAGTTTGGGGGAGCTCAGTAAGCTTCGTGCTTACAGTTTCAGGTACTTCCGCAAGCAAAGGGAAGAGCTCGGGGTGACGGCATCGCACACACCACAGCTTTAGCTTTTAGCCTGGGATTGATTTAGTTTGTTTTGATTTGACGTAGTATGATACAGTTTTCCGCACAGTGTTTTCTATTATGTTGGAATACATCACGTATGGTTTTATTATATGACACTCTGATTATGGTTTTGATTATATCGAAAAACGAAATTTTTGGGTCGTATTTTTGGGTTGTTTCAAGTTGGTATCAGAGCCCTGGTTTGAGGGATTCGGATACACTTCCGGGTGTATCTGAACTCAAACTAAGGGAAATAAAAGATTTTATTTTAAAAATAATAAAAACGTATTACAAAGAGAATTTTGAAAGCACTTAGAAAGAAAGAATAGTTTTTAACAAGATAGAGGTGTGTGCATGCGGTCAGCCGAGCTCAAGTAAGTACTCCCAAATTACCCATACAAGTTATTTGTTCAGTTTCAGTTTCAGTAGAACAGCATGCTAGTATAGGACTAAGGATCTAGGAGAATGCCTTATGTGCCTGCTTATGTGTTACAGCTTTATGAGTATTGCATGCTAGTACTGAGTAGACAGCAGTAGGATAGCCTGTTTAGGTTATGCCTGATAGTATGAGCTTAGCATCCTTTGCTAGTGCAGTTTCTTGTTATGAGAATAGTTTTGCCTGAGTCTGTTTCCCTTATCCGAATGCTGCTTGCTTCGTGCTTGGTGGGGTTCTGAGTAATGGGAGTTAGCCATTAGGTGAACACGTCACACCACATGTGATCAGGTTTGAATAATCCCAGAGTACTGGAACTGGCCCTATTGCGCAGCTCTTGTTTGAGTCCAACCGTTATAGGGACGGGTCTTTTACTTGAAGGATTATCTGATCCTCATCACATGTGATGGTGTTTAGGTGGTGGCTAATTGGCATTATGAGGAGACCTTCAGCAGCTGAGGACCAGTCGTGTTGAGCCTGAGGTTTCCCTAGGGCAAGCCTAGGATGAGAGTAGCAGAGAATAGCAGTAGTAGAAGTGACTTGGTGGAGTCAAGGCAGTTCTTGAGGAAAGTACGGATAGATGTGGAAGGTAGTATGGGCCCGTACTACTGAAAGCAGAGGATCCGTACTCGAATCAAGGAAGGCCAAGACAAGACCAGGAAGCTAGTAGCAGTGTCATGATCCCTTGAGATATTTCAGTGTTCTGATGTTGTTATGATATGTTTCAGAATGGTAGTTTTGCGTCCGAGACCAGCAGTCGGCAGCTCAGATGCCGGAGGGGGATCAGGATCGGGATCAGGCCCGGAGGTCGGGCAGATGGATGAGCAGACCAGAGAGTTCCTTTCTTCTGAGGTTACCCGCATCATACTGGAGCAGACTCCTGTGATCTTCGGTTCGATCAAGGAGGGTATTTTAGAGCTGATGGATGAGAGATTGGGTATTTTCCGTGCGGAGATGGCGGCCATGATGGGGTCGCGCACACTTACGTTCAGGGAGTTCAGGGCATGCGGAGCTCCAGACTATCATGGGGCGCGGGACCCCATAGCGAGTACCAGATGGTTGGCGGATGTGGCCAACGCTTTCCGCACTAGCAGGTGTCCCGAGGGGGACAAGGTCAGATTGGCGTCCTGTCTTCTGAAGGACAGGGCACGGGATTGGTGGGAGGAGGTCGGACATGCCATCGGGGATGATGCGGCATTGGATGCCATGACCTGGGCTGATTTCTCTACCAGGTTCAGGGCGGAGTTTGCACCGGTCATTGAGGTGCAGCAGTTAGCTAGGGAGTTTCAGGACCTTACCCAGACTACAGAGACAGTGGCGGAGATCACCGCCAAGTTCAGGGAGAGGGCTCTTCTTGTTCCTCAGTATGCAGCCGATGAGGAGATGAAGAAGGCCCGTTATCATGAGATGTTGCGGAGTGATATCCGCATGTTTGTGAGCCGGTCCAGTTGTAAAACGCTGGACGACATGATTGCTAGAGCTCGGGAGAGGGAGATTGATCTCGAGATTGAGAAGAAGAGGAAACCGGAGGCGGTTTCGGGTTCAGGCAGTTTGGGCAAAAAGCCCAAGGTTTCAGATCACAGGTCTAGGAGTCAGCAGAGCCACGGTCGGTGTGGCAAGTGTGGGAGATTGCACGAGGGGGCGTGCAAGGCAGGGAGTTCTGGCTGCTACAAGTGCGGTCGGACTGGGCATTTGAGTAGGGATTGTACGGCCCCTGCTACTACGGTTACAGCATCAGATCTGATTTGCTTTCAGTGCAATCAGAGGGGACATAAAAAGTCCCAGTGTCCCAGTTTAGCTGCAGCA